AATTTCTTTTTGTTGTTTTCGTAGGAGATTTCTTATGCGTAATTATTCCTATCGTTCTTTCACTTATCGATTAATTATTTGATAATCCTCCCCTTCATGATTATCACTCATAATCTTTCATTCTTCTTTACAAAATGAATACTGCCTTGAATTATAACTCATATATTTGTAACCCTAAAACTGGTTCTTTTCACATTCTCATTCAACATATAATTCCATCTCCCATACAATCAATTTCTAACATTTCATATGGTTATGATTTCCTCGGCAACGGCGCCAAAATGTTGTTCTTGTTGTGTTCAAGCTTCAATATGCCAAAGCAATTGAACTAATAGAGGTAGATTCGAATACGGAGAAAGACTGGTTATGTGAATTGGGTCTGTTAGTGTCACAATTGACTGTACTCTGGCTATCTGAAATCAATTATCAAACTACAAAACACCAAGGCTTACTACTTCCATCTTAATTCAACCCATAATCCATTCTATGACTATCAATTCAACAATACTTCCATATTCTTATCCGTTCATCTCCCACTTACTCTCTTTGTGGTTTATATATATTCAATTACTGATCTCCAACTTACCTATTGTATTCAGTTTCTTAATTCATCACACAGAATTCAATATCTTGGCTTACGACTCTCACAGTCTGGCATTCCAGACTAACTTCTCACTATTCAGAAACTATCCATTAGTCGTCAACAACAAAGAAATAAAAAGAGGTAGTACCAAGCTTGTCCCAGCTTATGACTATCACAGTCTGGCTCTGATCTCCCTTTCCTCAACCTCTTTACTCTACCAAAAGATGGACTATCGGCCAGCAGATTCCAAAGATTATGACCCTTTGAATTCTTAACCATTTATTCTACTAACAACCTACTGTTATCAACTAAACTACCTAACCATCAATCTAATTCTCAAGGTTATCAATAACCAACCAATAACTTACCACAAAGTTTATTTGCCTATTCTACAGTCATCTTCAAGGGTTTGTCTTTTAATCTGATGGTCACAAGATTTGCATCCGTATGCCATCTTGAACTGTTTTCCTAGACAATGATTAAGAATTATTATTAAAAAAATAAAATTTTAAATAAAATGCTCTATCTTCAAGATAATGATAAAACTCGTAACTACAGCTGAAATTATAATAACACGCTTTTGCAGACTTAAAGATAATAAATAAATACATATATATATATATATTTATATAAAGAATAGCATAAAAATATGTACTTTGTGCTTACTGACACAAGTTTATGTATATATAGATATATATATATATATATATATATATATTCTTTAGTTCTTCTCAAATCCAATTTATAAAATTTTCGACTTTATAATCTAATTATTTTATGTAATCTATATTTAGTATTTAAATTTTTAATTTTTTAATTATTAAATTATTTTGAATATATTCAATTTTTGATATAAAATAGAACAATTATATGAAGTTATAAATCTAAAATGTTACTATTAAAAAAATACAATTCTTATTTTTTAATTCTTAATTTATGCATATACAAACCATTAAAAAATTTGATTAGAAATCACTACAATTTAATATTTTTAATCAAAATAATCAATTAGTATTATTTTAATCATCTTATATCTATGTATATGTATGTATGTATGTATGTATATGTATATATATATATATATATTGAATGTAATACACATGGTGTATATATATATATATATATATATATACATACATATATACTCACACACCTATGTGTGTGTGGCTCTGTTTTTAAGATTAGTATATTTTAAAGTTATTGAAAAAATTGTAACAAATAAAATTTTAGAAGATAGATTGAATAATTATTATACTAAATTGAGATATTGATCCAAAAGATTTGAAAAATACTCTTAAAATAATTTTTTATTTTAAATATCACATGTTCTCTATTATGCTTATATACATGAATATAAATTTATTTGCCAATTTTGTAACAAAATAACTAAAGTTTATAAGAAAAAAAATTGTTGCACTTTGCAAAAAAGCTAGATGATGATAATAAGAATATATTTAGGTATATTTTTAAAATAATATAAATAATATAAATTCATAACATATTAATTAGATATTTAAAAATAATAAATTATTTTTTATTTTTAAAATAATGTAAAGTAGAAAACAAATATTTTCATAAAATTAAAATCTTGGACTTGTTGGTTTTGGTGGTGCAATTTTTAAAATTTTCTAATTGAAAAATAAATATAAAATTACAAAACAAAAACTAATCATAATATGATGATTTCGTAAAACAAACCATATACTTATTGTAATTTTTCTAGTCATTGTTGATTATCACATTAAACTGTCATTTGCAATTTGAATCAATGGTGGTAACATATTATGCATAGAATTAATTAAAATCCCAACAATCTATGATTATATTGAATATTCTAATAACCACCACAACTTTGTAAAGAAATTTGAAGGTAGAAACATACAATTAGAATATTGTCTATGCAAACAAATGGCATAAGATATGTTTACTTAAAAATCCAAATAGAAATCAGATAAAAATGTTTAAATTTAAAAGCAACAAAGTGGTACTTATGAAATAAGAATAATATCAGTTGCAGCATAATAAAAGTGTTAGAATATAGAATATGTTTCACAAATATCTCAATAAAAAATGATTCCATAACAATGCCCAAGCTACAAGATATCAAAATCCACATAAGAAGTTTGTCTCCGAGCGGTTTTGATTATGTAATAGACAAGCATTAAACAAGCATTGTACATGTGTTTTTTTCATCTTTTTTTGTTTTTTTTTTTTTTTTCTTTGAAGTATGAGGGGGTGCATTGTAATTGAATTTGATAATTTGTGTGCGGAACTATCCAGTGAGGGTGCTGCCACCGACACCGACACTGACAAAGTGGACTGATATGTGTTCAGGTAGGGATTCCACTTCTTCGACGACGACGACGAAGTATGCGAGGGGGATCGAGGAACTTCACGGACTGAAGGGCCTCACAATCACATGATGCAGCCACAAATGCAATGCACAGATTAGTCACATCGACCACAGGCGTTGCGAATCCAATCCCTGCCGTCAACAAAGGCCGAATTTTGAACTAGCAGCTGATTGTTGACAGCAGTGCTGTCAACAAAGGCCGAATCAATGCAGACACATTCGCTCAATTGCCCACACAACTCATTACAACAATTCGGGTTACTAATCACTGGGTGGGGGTTCCTAAATCACAATCATTCCAGACTTGACTACACTCAAGTGTGCTGCGCAAGAATTTTACCCGGCGGAAGCCACGGAAGTTCTTCAGAGAAATGAGTTTCTTAACAAGTATGATGTACATTTTTATGAAGACAAGTTGTCTGAACTTTACAGTTAGCCATTTTTCTTTTAATGAAAGCGACGAGTAAAAGAGAGGCAGAAGGTGTTCTTCTGCATGGCATTGGTTCCATCAAGCGTTTCTGTTCATTTTGATGTCGAATTTTGCGTCAGCTACGCGGTCGAGAAAAGTTTGGAGTGAATGAAAGGTTCCGGATTCTGTGCAATTGGGAAAGGAGATCTTTGAGGCAAGACTGGAGCAACCGAAGAGATGAATCGCAGGTCTGGACTGACGACATCTGCAATGTCCATGTGAATGCCAGCGCAATCCAACATTGAACACCTGGTTAAGGACAATCTGTCCAGCTCTTCCGACTCCGAACGCAGATACTCTTCGCCCAATTTCCCCTCAATATCAGGATCTGTCATGTCGTGATGCGCATTTCACTCAAGGTCTGCGCGGACGGTTGCGTTCTTCCGCAGACAGTGGAGCTTTTGCTTTCAATAGGTCTCTGAAGGAAAACGATAACAAACGCAGGCTCTCTAGATGGGTTTTTTCGGAATTTCAACAACTGCCAAAACGAGGCAATTCACGTTAAGTGTTGGTTTCACGAGCTGTCAATGCCAGAGTGGAAATGTGATAGATTGTCCATTTCAATCACCAGAACGAGAACGATGTGGGGATGATGGTAGAGGAGGCAGTTTCTGTTTTTGTCTGTGGTGAGTCGGCGCCACCAGGTTTCGGATCTTGTTTGGGTTAATCATCTTGTGAGGCCCCAAAAGCTCATGAATGTCTCCCGGCGTTGGGACATTACTGTAAATATGCGCTCATGGTCCTAACTCAAGTGAGATTGGACCTCTTATTAATCAGGAGTGCTCTCCCATTAGAGCAATCCACCTGCCAATGTTCCTTTCACGAGCTTCCATTCCATATTACAGGTCACAAGGGGCACTTCTGGCAAGTGTTGGATGGTTTAACAAGTGTTTCTCTTAAAGCCATGTTATTTACAGTTGAACAAACTGGGCTTGACGAGCTCAGAAAGTGATCATTTGATCATCAGAAAGGTGAAGGCATTTTTGCCATAAAGCACAAGTGCCTCTCGTTGGGACTTCTCCGAGCTCCAAATCTCCACCTGACATGACTCTCCTCTGTCTCTTTCAATTGCTTACATAGATGCCGTCACGGGCGGCGATTAGTATCCCTCCAAATGTAAATTAGTCGAGGTCTTTCATAAAGTTCTGAAACTTTTGACCATTCCAATAACTGGCAATTGGGTAACACCTCGTGTGTGTACGAGTTTCAATGCGGTAATAACCTGTTTGGTGCTGCAATCAAAAACCGTTTTGGGAACGGCGACATTGACCACGTTTTCTTGTTTCAAAGCGGCTACAGTGTACAGGAGCGACTTTCAACTCCACCGGTCGGATGAGGCTCTCATGAACGGTGCGATTGCAAAGTATGGCTAGCCGTGGTCTTCCTTGAGCTTTCAGCGACCTTGCGCACTGTGAATCCGCTGACCAGGATGTAATTGCAGGACCACTGGTGCACAGACCATGCAAAATCACTACTGGTGATCTAGAAAGACAAGAGACGTAAGCACATAGCTTCTCAAAATGAGCACACTTTGTAAGAGTACTTAACGCTCAAGAATTAAAATGAGCAGAGGAGGCAACTTTTTTCAGAATAAATAATTTCAAAAGAGAAAACTGAAGCGAGAAATTTCATTCTAAGGATTTTCATAATGTACAATTCAGCGTTACGGACCATCCAATCATGCTGATCTGTGCTATAAGCCACACTCACAAGTGGCATGAGGGCTCTACCAGTGTATCCCACTAATCAGCCACGGCGCGACCTAACCACCTCCATAGCAGACCTATGCAGAACATGACTTCTACTCCTCATCAACATTTTACACTGGCTTTGCCACTTAATCTCCTACACTACTCGGCAGGCCACCTCTCTTGCACTATCTTTTACCCCTTCCTCCAAAGACTGTACATGCGCAAGGCAGAGACCTGTCATGGGGAATCTCCGAAACCCCATCCATCACTGTTACCGTGCGCTCTGTGCATGTGAATATTACAGGGAAAGCCTTCCCAACTACCAAGCTTCTACCCTTTGATTGTTGTGATCGATGGTGTTCACCAAATTTCCACTCTTGGAAATCGAATTCACTTTAGTGTTGCGCTTGACTGGGATTAATATCCGTTGCGAGTACTCATCGCAGTCCACTTTTGACGCTTCCTCCTCTCTAAGAGAATTCTGACGCTCCTGACTTGTCAGGACGACATTGTTGCATTCGCTATCAGGCTCGTCGCCTTCTGAAGCCTCTGCCCTAGTTAACCCTTGAGCCTGTTCTAATATCGCCTCCTCTCTGTCTTTCAAGGTTCGTAGTATCAACGTCTTCAGCAAGTTCATCACTTGAACTGCGTGCATAAGAGCAGTCAAAGGGTCGGCCATCTGCAGATATAGAGGTCGAAACAGGTGTTAGGCTTCAGTTAGCGTTCCAAAATGAGGTGAAGAGTGAAAAAAAAATCGTAAATGGTATTCAAGTGCCAGCATCCAAGGGGGAGGTCGAAGATGACTTACCTGAGTCATATTAGGAGCAAAGACCATTGCAATATTGCGAGCGTTCATCTTGTTGACTACTTCGTCTTGGACTACATCAGCCATCAAATTGACAGCCCAGTCGAGCAGCGCAGCTTGAGTGGGGGGTAAAAGCTTCACGAGTGCCACGCTTTCTTCTTCAGTGTGGCATTCCAGAACCTGCTCCGGGGTCAGAACATCCAGCACTCCTTGCGGCAACTCCCGAAACCAAGCCTGCAAGGATACAATTCCGCTTAACCACTGGCACCAAAAGCTCTAAAACAAAACAAAATATAATGAACAAGAGGTGAATTAAAAACAACGGTGCGGAGTTGGATTGCCTTAAATGAACTACCTTTATAAGACCTGCAAGACAGTATGAATCGATGTCCATAGGGACAATGCCTTTGTTAAGTTGATCTCTCACGTGTTCGTGATGGCTGTTCTCTGCGTTGATCCGGAAAATGCCTTCTGCCTGCAAGCATAACCTAAAGCTTACTAAATTTGGGTAAATGATGAGCAGCTATCATTCGAGCCTTAACACTCGGTGCTAAAGAAATGGGATTGTAACTAGCCAAGTAGGTGAGGACGTAGAGGAAACACTACAGTAATGGAAATGTTAAGCGGATGAACCTTTAGGCCTCCTTGATGATATAATCTCTCTTGCATCAGTAGTAGGATCGTCGGAACACTGTTGCCGTTGTGATCATACGAGCACTGCATGGACTCCGCAGAAACGCCAAACACGCTCTGGCTGCGTTCATCAAGAACACCAACACATCGTCTGTCAGACTTCTCAAACCCACAATCATCTGGGAGTACACTCAGCTTCCTTAACTCAAACGCTCTAGGAACGCATGAAAACGCTAATCTCATTACACTAATCATGGCTGCTCTCCCGTCCCTCGTGGAACTCCTGCCCGGTGCAAGCGTGTGTCAGAAAGTATCAAACGATAGTGGGTCTTAACGAGCACACAAGTCAGAAGCTGACCCCGCACCCAGGAGTCCAGAACGGTCGGCAAATGATTAGAGACCTCGAGCGTAATAGTCATCCTCAAATTAAGGTCAATCACCAGAACTCTACAGTGCAGGAATCATTGAATTTCCTAAAACTAGAAATATTCAATGTCACTGATGAGACGCCAACTTCCGTAAGGAGCGTACTCGATCCAGTTCTAGACCACAGAGCTCCCCTTTTCAGAGGATAACTCTACCGTGACAGAGAGACTTAGTCAACGTGCCGTTGAACAAGTTTGTATGTTTCTCATTTCGCACGCATGCCTGAGCAACTCGATCCAAACAGGAAGTTTGACCCTCGGGATCAGCCTCGCAAAAAGCTCCGTGCATCAGCATGTTGGAAACAGAAAAACATCAAGTCGACATTGCAAGTGAACAACAGAGCGGACTAGCTGCGCGTCCCACCTGCAGCGCACATCAGAAAGTAGCCACCAAGTGGAGTGTTCCCTACAAAGATATCGAAGAATCACCTCCATGACAATGGTACGTCGCAGAACAGGATTTATACCACTTTGTAGAGGATAGAGTTCACAGAAGGGGAACACCACTTGAATAGGCACAACAGCTAATAAATTTTACCATGATCATTCAGAACAAGCTAGATGAAGAATCAAAAATGGTCGGTACTTGTGGGCAAACCTGGAGAGGGACACTTCATGGACTTACTGAAACTTCCACAACCACAAAACCTACTGCTTCCATACGGAGCACAATCTATCTTACGACAAATGTCACGGAACGAACACAGTATACGCGCAATTATTCTGCACACAAAGTACAAACATGTTACCTTGCACTCGGAACTCGCCCCGGAACTTCAACTTCGAACTCTTGGGGCAATCCCAGAAACCCATTGTAGCGGTCGAAGGTCACATGAGCCACATGTTGCACATCAGTGGGCCACCCGATCTCAAGGGAACTCTCATCTCCCTCTTCTACATCTTGGCACATAGTAAGAACAGACCTTCGTACAGTTGCCAGCAGCAGAGCCACCAGCGAAAGCTGGGCTGACCTCTCTCTCTCCTGATCATTGTTGCTGCGGTTGAAGCTCCCACTTCTAAAGCTACTATGCCTGCGATTCAAGCTGCCATTTCTGCTCCTTGCCCCAATCTCTCCCCAACGTCCACGGGTAATACTACTGAAACTGCTAGAATGCGACAGGCCCGACTTTCTTGCTTCCGGCTCTTTGCACAGTTCCCGTATACTAATGGTCGCATCACCCAGGATCATAGGAGATGCATGGTTGCCGCTGTAACCATCCGTGTCCGTATCCGAAACGTAATGCAAAGCATTGACGTAATCTTCGGACTCGCTTTGGTCTGGTGTGAAGCTCCCCAGGTGTATCTGGGTCGGGAGAACCTGTGTCATTGTATTCTACTTTACTACCAACTTTATAAGGCTGTGATCATGCGGTAAGAAACAGAGGGAGGAAGAGGCGAGAGGGGCCCCCGAAGACAATCTGATAAGATATCACCCTTGATTCCAACCGAAACTCAGATCCAGGAGATCCTGCAGGCTCATCCTCTCCCTTTATCGAAAAGGGCCCTTACTTCTACCCAGTGAGCTTGACATAAGACGTTAAGCTCTTGCTCCTGCAACTGAATCTATAGAAGACTTAAATGGGCTGGGAAAAGAATGTTGCTCCCCAAAATTAGTGTCTCCGTGTACTAAGGGATCGCCCAGCTAGGCATCGAGAATGAAGTCGCAAACAATTGTCTTCAATATTCCAAACCTAGTCGAAAGGATTGAAACTTTTCGGTTGCTACGACCACAAGTGTTGACAGTGCCTCTCCAGTACTGAAGCAGTCCGAAGATTTCAATCACCAGATCCTTGCACTCCAGGATGCGGGGCCAGAGAGTAATCTTCACTCTCCCAAATCTGCAAAACACACAATTCCATTGTATCAGCTCTAAAACGCTATCCAACATCTACTCGGGCTCAGAAGAACTCAGAACAAATCCCACTACTGTATTTCAAAGAGTGTTAAACAAGTTGGCGCCAACTGCCACAGACCACCTTCATGAGAGACAATTCCAGTGCCCTTTAAATACTTCTATACAATCTAAGACAGGTGAAAGACCTACTAAAACAATTGCAACAAGAAAAATCATCAACTGACTTTCTAGCATTGCGGCTGAGTATGCAGCTTGTTGTGGGCGCCATTACAGACTGTTTACGAAATCCACACAACCTGAAAATCCTGTCTAAACTCGTATTCGTTTTTTCTTCTTATTCTTCTTTTTTTTCATCTCAGGTACACAATAGTAAGCCCTAAACTGGATCCTGTAACTGTACATAACTGTCGGGAGGCAAACCCCGACAACAGCACACAACACACGTACACCGCAACTGCTTCATTTGATCACATGGACTCATTTTGGGCAGTACAGACGCCGGCAATGTGGACTACCTTAATGAGCTTGGCAGGGTGAGATTTGTATTGCGCTTGCGAAACCTCCTTGACACGACAAAGTCTCAAAACCAGAAGCAAGACCGGCACAGAATGCCTATCACGTAAACCGGTGAAAGATCTCTCTCTCGCTCTCTCTCTCTAGTTTTCTATCTCCCTTTCCCAAAACTCCCACAGCTAAATGGCTCAAACTGGTCTCCACCACCACGACGACAACATGAAAAGACAGCATCAAGTATGTCAGACCCAGGGGAGGACCCCAGCAGCTGGCAAACTACAAGAAGTGGCTGCGCGGCAGAAGCAAGAACTGGAGGCCTCCAGGAACCCACGGCGCGAGAAAAGGAAAGAAATGACGAGACACGGAGGTGCGGCGATGGCGAAGAGGGCAAACAAATGGCGAAAAAGAGACTCGCTGGCAATCAACGCTCCCACTCGGCAGCAAGAAGACAGCAACTCCTCCAGCTTACTAACCCACCCTCGTAGCATGGTCTCAGAAATCTCTCTATTCAATCTACTGGCTTCGCCATTGTGGGCCTTCGGATCGCATCTGCCGCTCAGATGCGATCCGAACCGTCGATCGGATTTCTGGGAACGAAGGAAGGGAACGTAGGGGAACCAGTGGGGGCAGGTTGGGAACTGAGAAGCCGTTCCTGATTGGGCCCGCACTGATCCACATTCACATACACAGGTGCTGCCTCTCTTTCCCACTTTTCAACCATCCCTCTTGCTCCAAACAATTCTACTTTTTAAAGTATTTATTTACAGTGTAGCGCTGAGGAGGAGGGTGATGCTGATGCCCTTACTACTTACTCGGATGACTCTTTCCTTTTACTTTTTGTGTGGCTAAGCTGGGCATTGCATTGGATGACCTTTCTTGTTATGTACAATATATATATATATATATATATATATATATATATATCATTACATTGGTAAATATAGTATTTTCAACTTTAAACTTACAATAAAATGAAATTTATAAATTATTATCAAAATGCAACTATAAACTAACTTAAACATACCTCACAACTTCAATCATGTTATCTTATCTTTTCTAATACAGTTGTATATGTGTAATAGAAATTGTATGTTTTTAAAAGATCCAAAAATAACAATACAAAATTTACCATGAAGGTTTTTATATTACTCTTATATTTTTTATTATTGATTTATCTAAACCATAGTTTATTTTTAATAATATCATTCTAATCAACGTTTATCACAAAACTAATGATGTTTCAATATGCTTTTTAATTATGCTTTTCATCTATTTTATTATTGTAAATATAATTTAGTTTTTTAATTTAAATATAAAATTTACATAAAAGAAAACATTTAAACTGATTTTTCTATGTGTGTGTGTATATATATTATTTATTTATTTATTTATTTTAATATAATGCATGAAAAAACTACTATTATTTAAAACAGATATATATTATCATCTTATATACATATGTATTACTTGAAAACAATTTCCATCAAATGCAACTTAGAAACTTCTTTGAATTATATTAAATGAATATGCAAACACAAAATTTTATTTTTCTTCATTTTTTTTATTTTATTTACTTCTTTTGAGGTTACATATATATTATTATTTTATTTTATTATCTTTAATGTTATACAAATTTCTTATAATGCTACAAAACAAGTTTGTAACTTAGATCTTTTTCCAATTTATAATGTTTAATACTAATTTGATTTTACATTCTATCATCAACACTTCAATTGCAACTATTTCTTATTCTATTTTAATTGGAGCTTATAATTTGTTTTGAAAAAGGACTTGATAATAAGTAAGTATATATTTTTTATATTTATATGAAACTCAAAACTAAGGTTTTTTGTGCATTGCTAGAGTTTTAGTACAATTATTTAAAAAAAAAATTGTCATAAAACTAATTAACTAATATTAATAAAAAAAATTGAAATAACACATGTTATTTATTTTTTAAAATTATCTAAATAATCATGTTCAAGTGTTTTTCCTTTTTCTTGGATCATTATATTGTATGTTAATTCAATGTAAAAATTTCAAAAACATTTTAAACAAATTTTAATTTAGTTATATGAAACATATATATTTTATAATGTATTTAATAAAAAAATCTAATGCTACCTAAAATTTTTTATGAGTTGCTAGAATTCTTCTCTAAAATAAAAGTACCATCGAGTGCTCTTGTGTATGGCAAAAAAATATTAAAAATAAATAAATAAATTGCTTGGAGCAAGAGGGATGGTTGAAAAGTGGTAAAGGGAGGCAGCCCATGAACAAAATTCAGCACCCATGTCTGTAAATGTAGATCAGTGCGGACCCAATCAGGATTGACTTCTGAGTTCCCAACCTGTCCGCCCCGTGGTTCCCCTACGTTCCCTCCCTACGTTCCCAGAAATCTGATCGACGGTTGATATCACATCTGAGCGGCAGCTGTGATCCGACGGCCCACAATGGCGGAGCCAGTCGATTGAAAAGAGAGGTTTCTGCGACACGTAGAGACGAGGCAAACCCACTCACTATTCCTGGCATCCTCCCAGGATCTCCGCCTGGATCAGTTACTTGGTTTGGGTTTGATTAGCAGGCATCAACCTGCTGGTACCATCCCTAAATTAAGCAACGTCATTAATAAAATGAAAAGGAGGGAGCATTCAATAGCCCTGGTTAAGAAGCGCGCAGCGTAACAATCTGGGGAGTTACCAGAGCTCTCCAGCAGCTGCACTCTCCAACTCCGGCGTCGCACTAACCATGATTGTGTGTGTGTGTGCGCTTTGTAATTTTGCAATGCCCAACTGTTTCCTCCTCCTCCACGTACAACCTAGCACTTCTGATATGAGTGTGACAGACACTGTTCAAACTAGTTGCTCTTTCAACTTCTTCTTCTTCCTCCTCTGCTTTGACTTCAAACTTATCCACGTCAGTGAGAAAGGGAAGAAAGCTCAGGGCTCGACGGAAACAAGTTCTGTGGTGGTGCGGTGGCTGTCTCGCTCGTAATTAACTCCCTGATATGACCACCCACCGCACGTTTCCTGTTTTGGGTTTTTTTCTTCAACGCAGAATAAGCGCAGATTGTACTTACTCCACGGTACTTTCCTTCCTTCCCCCTTTGATTGCATCACTCTCTCTTTGCAAAGATGTGAAAGCTGCTTTGGCAGAATCACACCTCCTCAACCCTAATTAATGCCCCCCCTCCTCCCTACTCCTCCATTTGAATCAGGAATAACCATTTATTACTCTGTTTCAATCCCTCCACTCACGGATTTCACCTTCTGCGTTTCCCGTTATTATTTATTTATTTATTTATTTATTTTGCCACTGTTAGAATGAGTTACCCACTCCATCCGAAAAGGTCAATTCCTGTTGCATCACAACTCTACGTCCATTTCTTCATCCAAACTGCCATCTGTGTGTGTGTGTTGATTTTTTATTTTTATTTTTGTGATGTGTTTGTTATTTGGATTTTATTTCATTTTTTTATTTTATTTTTCAAATACAGTTATGGGGTGTGGCAGCTTCTTCCACACTTACTTTTGTCTTGAATGCTGGCTCTCTCTCGCCCTTCGGGCTCAGTCCGGACATGCTCTCCTCCTCCGGACTATACCTGGAGTTGATCAGAACCACGCACACATCCACACAACACAACACAGTGAGAGAGTGAGTGAGTGAGCATTCTGTCAGACTGCCATGAAACCAACCAGAAGTAAGGATAGAAATTTCAAATACAAATATATATATATATATATATATATATATATGAACCAGACAGGGGCCATTGCCCAAAGAGAGGGGGTGTCATGGGGCAGGGTAGAGGGGAGAAAAATTTAAAATTTTAATAAGAAGAAGAAAAGAGAGATTTGCTTCAACCTCCTTGTCAGTTATCAGTGTAACAGTTGTTGTGTTGAATTGAGTTGAGATGGACACTGTTTGATGCTTGACCTTTGGAAGTGGCTCCTTTTTGTATTAAAGAAGAAGTAGTAGACGTAAGGAGAAGGAATGACACACAAAGGGTCCTCAGAATTGCTGAAGAGAGCATCCTCCTTTTTAGGTTTTATATTTTGGGTTTCAGGTAATGGCTGGGTTTACAGGCAATCTGTTTACAATATGCTTGAATGTATGTCATGTGGGTGCTCCCTGGCTGGTGGTATTGGGCAGAAAGAAGAAGAAGAAAAATAAAAATAAAAAATAAAAAATAGGAAACTTGATGGTGTGGAACAGACATCCATCTCAACATGATGAGCTTTGTTGCATCTGTTTTTCATTTGCTTTTGAGTCTGTCTTGTGCTTTGAGTGTTGCAGCTCAAGCTCTGTTGAAGAAATGGGCTAACTATCAATTGTGTCTCATTTAGTGATTTTTTATTTAAAAAGAAAAAAAAAAAACAACAACAACAACAACAACACATTATGATGTCAATAGACTCAGTTTTGGAGTTTTCTTCTTGGTTTTATGACAACTCCAAATTGGATAGAGCTTTTTTGGATTTAGTGTGTGGTTAAACACAACCCCAGCACTTATTTTTGCCGAGAGTACATGCTGGGGTTATGAAATGACAAATGGACCACCCTTCATGGAGCTTTCAGTTTCCTTTCAAATGAAACATCATTCATAACTCAACTTTCTGAAGGCCACCGACAGCACCCTTAATGAACATTTATGCGGAGTAAATCAAATGTGGGCTTCATTAGAGAGGTAAAGAAACAAAAAAACAAAAAAACAAAAAAGCAAAAAACAGATAAGTAACTACCAACAATGTCGGCTCTTGGAAGCATGTGACAAAGGCCTGTGGCGGTAAAAGACGAAACCCAGATGCCCTAATTACCTAATAAATGGGCGCATCAATGCCCATCAATTCAGTGAGAAGTTTCCCCTCTCTAAACAGAGCTTTCATCAAACCCTAAATTTGGAATGAGCTTCGCCAGAGGGATAATCCACATTTGGCGAGGGCGCCAAAAATTCCACTGGAGAACATGGGCCGACTTCCACCACATTAAGAGGGATTGAGAGAACGATGTAGAGGCCTTTCCTCCTCCTTTCCCACATTGGAATATCCAGTTCATGTATTTTGCTAGAAAGGACAAATGTCCATTCACGAATATGGGTTCCATTTAGGTGGAGCTCACACACCCCATACTTGTCAGGATTGCCAAGAGATATCAAAACCAACCACCATTTAATGACAAAGGGAGGATTGTTGGTTACGACTTAATTATTTACCTGAATGGAAGATCTTAACATCGAGGAACAAAACAAAACAATACCAAACGAGCACACATACGATCTTGTTCGATATTTCCAAAGCGTTTGTTAAATGTACTACTGCAAGTCAAAATAGCTGGGCCAAAGAAGCACAAAGCAAAAAAAGGATTGTATATAAGTGATTTTCATATATTGGAGACAGCAATGGAAATATGTAATTCATGGTTTTGTTTTACACTTTTAAAGAGATCCCCTATCTATCTATATATATATGAAAGGTA